AAGGAGTTGTTGCTGCTTCTGACAGGGTGCTCCTCTGTCAACAACAATCACCAGCAGAATAGAGACAACTTGCGAATTGGTTAATCGCTGATACTGCTGCCCAAGGGGTACATCGATTCCATCAAACATAAAACAGCTCAGAGGGCTTAAATCCCGTTTGTGTCGGTTTGCATGTGTGTTCACTCAGATTTAAACATTCGACGGCTTTTCCCGCACTATCGCACCCTTCAAAGGTCACTTCTAGCCACTGTTTAAGATGATGCTCATTTTCGTAAATCTAGTATAAGGGCTTAATTTATCAATAAATTAAAATATTGCAGATTGTTTTTGAAATGATTGCCACATAATGATTATTGCTTTCTGTTAAAAATTGCATAAGGAGCCATTGCATCATCGTGATGCAACGCTCCCGGTCTCCGGTTCAATCTTTGGACACCCAACCTCCTTAAGAGTTTTGCAGTCTTTATGACCTGTGGTCATCCGGGTATAAAAGCACTTCTCCCCATCTCCAGCACCTAGTGTCGTTGATATGTTTGAACAACAGAAAATTCTTTATTAGCCAAAATCAACAAAATATTAGTTTCCAGAACAGTCAGGTAAATTTACAAGTAATGAGTGATAAAGTAGTTCCTTATTGCACTGCATTGTCGAAACGGCGCGGATTCTGTGAAAATCCAATTTACAACGAACACAACGAAAATTTCAATGGCTTACATTCAGTTTTCCAAAGAAAACTTATTTTGTCACGCTTTTTTGGAGGAAGCTTATTTGTCTCGCTTTTGCGCCAAGGCAAAATTGATATGAGAAGAACATTATGAACTGGAACAATTTTAAATTTCTTGGTCAACCACAGGAAAAAATATGAAAGAGGCAAGTTTACAGAAGTAGGTGAAAGTGGATGAAATTAGTTTTTTGCCTTTTAGCAGCAATCCAAAGTCACTGTACATGTAGGTGTTTGCCTATATGCGAGATCTAAATGGCACTTTCAGTGTTTTCATTAATTATCAAAATTCGACTGTGTTCCTCTCCACAGTGGTGGGCCAGCAATGCCAAACAAATTCCATATTTTAACGTATAGATGCGATTTTAGGCCCATCGTGCTCTTCCAATCACCTAGCCAGGGATATGATTGTTTATATCTCTAAAATTTCTACAATATCTGAGCAGAAGTGAAAAGTATCGCTTTCATAGTTAATGCTATGAAATTACCCAAAAAAATTTCACAGTCTGATAATGGGAATTATTCATTCTACTCTTTTTTTTCTGTTTAACTCTGCTCAGTTTCCAACCCCATGACAAAAAAGGAATTTTTTCTCCTAATTATTTCACCTTATTAAAACTAACCCCACCAAAAGTTAAAATTTTGGCCAGT